TGACCTCACTTGCCAAAACACCCCAGGAGTGCAGGACTTGACAGAGGACATGCACTTTCTCACTCACTGTTGCATTTGAACAAACACTCCAGGGCATCTCATTCCCATCCTACAAATATGAGAACATTACCAGGAAAATATGGCAACTTGCTCAAAGTCACGCAGCTAGTAATCGACGGTGCTTGAGACCATCCACCCCAGGTCTCTTGGCAATACAATTCTGCAAGTGAAAGAAAGGCAGAAAGGGGAACTTGTCCTGAGTCTGGGCAGAAACTGTGATTGGCATTCCCTGTCCACCACAGGGTATAAGCATACCCTGCCCCATGCCCCAGGTTTAGGGAAGGAAACTTCTGTCTTTGAGTATATTATTCAATGCATTGCTCCAATGCGTTGCTGTCCACAAGGTTGGGGCTACTGTCCCAATTTTTGCACAAGAAAGGTTCAGGGAGGGAGGCAATTTACCACAAGTTAGCTCATGGCCTGAGTCACCCCAATTTTCTATTTTTGAGTCAGGGTCTCTCTCCGTTGCCTTGACAGTGGCATGATCACAGCTCACGGTAGCCTCCATCTTCTGAGCTCAAGCAATCCTCCCACCTCAGCCTCCCAAGTAGCTGGGACCACAGGTACACACCACCATGCCCAGCTAATTTTAAAACATTTTTATAGAGACAGGGCCTCGTTCTGTTGCCCAGGCTGGTCTCGAACTCCTATCCTGAAGCAATCCTCCTACTTGTAATCCCAAAGCATTGTGATTACAGGTGTGAGCACCATGCTTTGCCAACCATGTTACTATCTCGGTAGCACCATGTTTACTTCTGAAGTATTAACCTAACAGGTCACATAAATAACAGCAAAAACAATTCCCATGTACTGGCCACAGACTATGTTGTATTTGACTCTCATAACAATTCTACAAACTAGACACTGTGATGATCATCCCTGTTCTACAGACGAGGAGGCGGGTGCAGAGCAGACACATCGGTATGCAGATACACAGCTGGTCGTGGCAGGGCTGAGCCAGGAACCCAGTCAACCTGATGAGGGAACCCAGGCTGTTTGCCTGCGAAGCCCTGGGCTTTCTGTGCTGACTATAGATTATGGGCACAGGGAGGGACAGGGACAGTGGCTTGCCCACAGAGACAGAGGCTGGGGACGGATATGATTCCTGGGATTCCCATCCCAGGACTCCCTCCCCAGTGCTCCCCAACGGGATGAACAAATTGCCTGCATGGTTCTCTACTTTTCAGACAAGTTGGCCATACTGGTGAAAGTTGTCTCAGGGGCAAGCAGGCCTGAGGGGTAGATGCTTCCACCAGGACAACCAGGGCTGCAGACACGGAGCCAGAGAAGGAACGCAGAGTGGGGGCTAAGCAGGGTCTTGTTTGCCAATGGGGGAGGGATTGTGGAGTGGGATAGGGTAGCTCCAGCATCTGCTCATCTGTGGAAGGTCTCCCAGAGCCTTTAGCAGCCTCAGTGCACCAGGTTCCCTGATCACATTGTGTAGGAGTTGGAGCCTCCTGGGTCTGCAGGAGAGGAGAGGGCCACTTAGAGAAGTGGGGGTGGGAGATTCAAAGAGAGAGAGGAAAGAGAGAGAGAGAGAGAGAGACAGAGACAGAGAGACAGAGAGACAGAGGGACAGGGGCTGCCCAGGCCTTTGTGAAGGGACGTTTATCTAGCTCTCAAGTCTTGATGTGGAAAAGCCTCACTTTTTACTTTTTTTTTTTTTTTTTTGAGACAGAGTCTTGCTCTGTCACACAGGGTGGAGTGTAGTGGTGCAATCCTGGCTCACTGCAACCTCCACTTCCCGGGTTCAAGTGATTCTCCTGGCTCAGCCTCCCGAGGAGCTGGGATTATAGGCGCATGCTACCCCGCCCAGCTAGAGACGGGGTTTCACCGTGTTAGCCAACATGGTCTCAATCTGCTGACCTCGTGATCCACCCACCTCGGCCTTCCAAAGTGCTAGGATTACCTTGGGTCTCAAAATGTTCCCAAGCCCCTGCAGACATGGCCTTTCACCCTGGCTTCTCTCAAGCCAAGTCTTAGGAAAGGTTGTCTACACTTCTTGACCCCATCTTTTCACTCTTCTTCATACTGGAGGCCACTGCAGAATGGCCAACCCACCCCGGGTCCACTGGCCACCCTCAAGCCTGGTGTTTGTCTGCACAGACAGTGGTGAGCCTTCCTTCCTGCTGCCTCAGTTTCCCCAATGCCACTCTCCTGCTGTCCCTCCTGCCTCCCTGGTGGCGTGAGCCACCACGCCCGGCCAAGCCTCACTTTTTCTTTCTCATTCTGCCTTGCCTAGAATCTTCTGATCACTCTATTAATGGGGTGAGCCATTATGTAAAAGGCGAGTTGGTGAGAGCCTCCTTTCTCCCTCCCTAGGAGGAAGGGGCAGCAGCCATGGGTTCTAAAGGTCTAAAGTCAGCCTCCCTACCTCAGGTAGTAGACACCGACCTGCATGTGCCAAGGGCAGGACTCACTCCTGGAACCTTGTGCGATGGCCCCGAGAGGAAAAGCAGGTGCCCCTGAGTCCAGACTTCTGCAGTCGTATCAGAGGGCCTATGCAAGCTGCTTGGGCTCTGGCTGATTTCATGTGAGGGCGTGCCCAGCACTGGCCGAGGTGGAATGTCCTCTTGAGGCGGTTGGAAAGGGGCTCTGAATATGCCAGATCTGACCTAGAGGAACACAGGAGTGTGCAGGTCTCATGCCCTAACCTAAGGACTAACATTGTCATCTGCTTCTCCCCCAGTTTGGCTTCTTGGGGATCCTAAAGCCAGTCAGAAGCGGGGAGGAAGCAGGAGAGTCCTGAGAGGCCTGATATCCCTGGATGGCCCTTTTCCCAACAGCCATAAAGGGCCTGATGTGCAAGCTCTGCTTGACCAAGAGGCCACTGGGGCAACACTTGAGCTGTGAAACCAGGTTGCACAGAAGTCCACTTCTTCTTTCTCTCAAGGCCAGGTGTGCAACCAGTGGCCTTCATCCAGGCTTCCACCTTCTAGGAGCCCTGCTGTCCAAGCCCCCAAGTGTCCCACAGGCCAACTGAGGTCAAGAGGTACCCCAGGCCTCAGGGCCACATGGCCAGTCCACAGAGGAGCTGGGACTGGAATTTGCCTCGTGGACGCTGGACCCCTCTATCACTTTGGCCCTTTATCTCTCCCGGCTGTGCTGTCTCCCTCTCCCAACACCAGCCAGACATCCTAGCTTGGTGTCTCAGCCAGAGCACCAAACAGGGAGTCATTTGAGGTCGCATCAGGAGAGACTTCCTGGAAGCTGTAGGGGCAAAGAGGAGATTGCTGTGCCTGGTTGGAGGTCAGGGAAAGCTTCATGAGGTGAAAGGGCAGGCCCAACAGAAGGATGGGGGCAGACCTGGGAGAAAGAGTAGGAGGCTCAGATGAGCCTATGTGATGGAGGCCTATGTGACAGTCTGGCACTTGGGGTGTGCAGGGATGGGGTGAGGACAGTGGGAACAAAAAGGCCACAGGCCCTGATGCCAGACTAGGGGGTATGTGGGCTCCTGAAGGTAGAGGGTTGAAATGGTCAAATCGGTGGTTTAAAGGAACCCCTGGACAATGGTGTGGAGGGTGGACTATGGTCTGAGGAGAGCCTGAAACCTAGAGAAGGTGGAGTCTGGAGGCTGGGGCAGCACTGCATGGGAGAGATGGTGGCAGGAGCCAGGCAGGGGTGGAGGGGGAGGCCGGAGGGGAGTGCTTTCAGAAAGAAGGAGCTGAGGGTGCTTCAGGGCTCAGGCAGCAGACACTCAGCAGAAGAGCAGTCAAGGGGGCCCAGTGGGGACAACTAGGATGTTCATAGGAGTCTTGAACTCAGAGACACAGATAGGGTGGTGTCTACCTATTATAACTGGTGTTCTGGGAGAGGGTATCCCCAGGGAAACCCAAGGCCAGGGAAGAGAAGCAGCCCAGGAGGTGACCCCACACGCTCTCAATATTAAGAAGACAGTCCTTGGGGGAGACCAAGAAGGAGCCACCAGGGAGGCAGGAGGGACAGCAGGAGAGTGGCATCAGGGGAGACTGGGGCAGCAGGAAGGAAGGCTCACCACTGTCTGTGCAGACAAACACCAGGCTTGAGGGTGGCCAGTGGACCCGGGGTGGGTTGGCCATTCTGCAGTGGCCTCCAGTATGAAGAAGAGTGAAAAGATGGGGTCAAGAAGTGTAGACAACCTTTCCTAAGACTTGGCTTGAGAGAAGCCAGGGTGAAAGGCCATGTCTGCAGGGGCTTGGGAACATTTTGAGACTGAGAAAAACAGTGAAGAAGGATGCAGAAGGGGATAGATGGAGCAGAGCCTCTGTCTGGCTGACAGCTGGGTCCAGAGAGCAGGTAGTATGGCCTTGAATAGAAAGGGTAACTTGTCCCTTGCAAGGGTGAGTCTCTAGGTTGGGGGTGCTACTGTCTTCATTCACCAGTTCTTTTTTTGCTTTTTGATTTTTTCATACTGAGTCTCACTCTGTTACCCAGGCTGGAATGCAGTGGCATGATCTTAGCTAACTGCAACTTCTGCTTCCCGGGTTCAACAGGTTCAAGCGATTCTCATGCTTCAGCCTGTAGCTGGGACTACAGGTGTGAGCCACCATGCGTGGCTAATTTTTGTATTTTTAGTAGAGATAGGGTTTCACCATGTTGGTGAGGCTTGTCTTGAACTCCTTATCTCAGGTGATCTGCCCACCTCGGCCTCCTAAAGTGCTGGGATTATAGGTGTGAGCCACCGTGCCATGCCTCATTAATCAATTCTTAATCGATGCCTACTGGATGCCAGGCAATGCCTAGAGCTGGAGATTTAGCAGTAAACAACTAAATCCATCACCCTGACTCCTGAGGAGTAGAAGGATGTAGAATAGGCACCTGGCTCTCTTCCTCTCTTGAGGGACTTAATGCTCTTGAGCACCCCTGGCTATGACAATCTCCTGTCGGGTCTGGGAGGTTGTCAGAGAGATGGAGAAACCACTTCCTCATCTTGCACACGAGGCAGGCCTCACTCACTGCCCAGCAAGTCCTGTGAAGCAATAGCCAGGGGCTGAAGCAAACCCCAGCCCACACTCTGGCAGGCAGCCAGGGATGGGTGGGTCAGGAAGGTTCCTGGTTGGGCCTTTGCATCAGGCTCAGGTTGAGCATAAAGGAGGCTCCTGTGGGCTAGAGGGAGGCAGACATGGGGACCATGAAGACCCAAAGGGATGGCCCCTCCCTGGGGCGGTGGTCACTGGTGCTGCTGCTGCTGGGCCTGGTGATGCCTCTGGCCATCGTTGCCCAGGTCCTCAGCTACCAGGAAGCTGTGCTTCGTGCTATAGATGGCATCAACCAGCGGTCCTCGGATGCCAACCTCTACCGCCTCCTGGACCTGGACCCGAGGCCCACGATGGTGAGCTTCTGGCGAGGTTCTGCTCTGCTCTGGCTAGGCTTGGCCACCTGTTGTTCCTTCTGCTCCTGCTGCACTGCCTGCCAAAAGGGCATGTCCCCCTTTAAGTGTGGTCCTGTCTTTTCCAGGGAACCTTCTAGAGCTTGTATCTCCTCCCAGCATGAGAGCTTCCTGTCTTAGAATTCCTGCGGTGGCAGAGATACCCTTACCCCAACCCCATGCAGGTGTAGAGGCTTCTGTGAGCTCCAGGCACTAGAGTGGGGTCATTGGCTCTGGGCAGTGACCTCCTCTGCTTTAAGTCTCTGCTGTACCACGTTACCCCACACAGGGAAGAACTCTGTCCAGACTTTAGGTTCCAGTGGGTATGTCTTGTACCCCAGGAAGCCCCCCGACTTCCCTTGCCCCCACCCCAGAGTGGGAGGGGCTCCTTGTTAGAGCTCATCTGAGGTCTGCTCCTACTCACTGTTCACCTAGGAGGGTAGGAATGGCTCAGTCTTCCTCCCCTCAGTACCCCAGTGCCGAGCCCAGTGCCCAGGGCCCATCGCACATCGGGTACTGTTGAAAGCCTGTCCTCTTGGTGGGAAGGTCATGGACACAAATCAGAAAATACAAGAATGGGCCTCCGCATTTCCTCCTCTGACTAGGATGGGGACCCAGACACCCCAAAGCCTGTGAGCTTCACAGTGAAGGAGACAGTGTGCCCCAGGACAACACAGAAGTCACCGGAGGATTGTGACTTCAAAGAGGACGGGGTGAGGCTTGGGACTGGGGGTGTTGGTGGGTGCCTCCCAAGGAGGTGAACAAGGGGCACCTGGGGAATATTTCCCACTGGGATGGGGCTGGGAGGTTGTGGCAAATGGTTTCAAGTTTCACCTTGAGCTTCTCCTTTCCAGCTGGTGAAGCGGTGTGTGGGGACAGTGATCCTAAACCAGGCCAGGGACTCCTTTGACATCAGTTGTGATAAGGTGAGTGGGCTGTTCTGGGATGCAGGGGCTGATGGGAGCATAGAGTGTGGACCATCCTATGGGTCAACTAACTACCTCCCCAACCCAGGGCAGAGAAAGCCCCTCCTACCCAGGGCTCTTCCCCCAACCTGAGCTCCATCTCTGGGGCGGGCTCTGGAATCCTAAGGTGTAGCTCTCCAAGTGTAGCCCTTCCTGGGGACTCGTTAGACATGCAAATTCTCAGGCCCCACTCAGATCTACTCAGACAGACACTGGGTAGGGCCCAGAAATGCATATTTTGATAAGCTTTCCAGGAGATTCCGGCTCCTGTAAAGTTTGAGAGCCACTGTCTTAGAGTACTCAGCTCTCAGCCCTGTGTTCCCATCTCAGTGTTTCTGGGCTGAGCTGTGTGACCCTGCAGAGCCCCTCACGATCTCCGGGACTCAGTTTTCTCATCTTTTTACTTGGTGTAGGGATTCAATCACATGCTTCAAAGATCACAGTCAGAGGTTGAACTGGGGCCCCAAAGTTCCTGCGGGGGCCCATGAAGAGGGGCCTCTAGGTGGGGAGGTGTCTTGGATTGACCCTGGGTACACCCCTGACAAGGAACCTGTTTCTTCCTGTATACAACACCAGGATAATAGGAAATTTGCCCGGCTGGGCAATTTCTTCCGGAAAGTTAAAGAGAAGATTGGCGGAGGGCTTAAAAAAGTTGGCCAGAAAATCAAGGATTTTTTGGGGAATCTTGTACCCAGGACAGCGTCCTAGTGTGTGCCCTACTCTAGCTCAGGCTTCTGGGCTCTGAGAAATAAACTATGAGAGCAATTTCCTCAGGCTGCAATCTCACTTGTCTTGCCTCCTCTCTCTCACCACTACCGAGCCCTTAACTCAGGCAGGCCGCGTGTGAGTGTGAGTGTGTGTGAATGTGACACAGAGGTGGCAAGGGCAGTGTTCCATCCAGGAGGACACAGGGTAAGGCAGCAGGGCCAAGAGGTCCAAGACAGCATCCCCATTCTCAGTGGAACCCCCAGTGGGGAATTAAGGAGCTCTACTCTGTGTGTGGTGGTGGGGGAATGCTGTGGAACTGTTCCTGCTCATGGGGAGGTGACATTCGGGAGAGGGGCCAAGCGTGTTGTTAACATGCAGAGAAGCATGGTCCAGTCCCGTGGGTGGCTGGCCAACTGGGTGCGGTCTGCCTGCAGGTACAATTCCCATAAAATTCCACTGCTTCCTAAAAGGAAAGCCCATAACTCCGGGCATTTCCTCTGACATTGGGACACATCACAGTTTCGTCAGGTAGGTAGCAGATTTAACTTGTGGGCTTGTGTTTAGGGATTGTTGGAAACAAGAATATGGTCGGGCGTGATGTCTCATACCTGTAATCCCAGGACTTTGGGAAGCCAGGCGGGTGGATTACTTGAGCTCAAGAGTTTGAGACCAGCCTGGGCAACATGGCAAAGCCTGTCTCTACTAAAAATACAAAAATTAGCTAGGCGTGGTGATGCATGCCTGTAGTCCCAGCTACTTGGGAGGCTGAGGTGGGAGGATTTCTTGAACTTGGAAGGCAGAGGTTGCAGTGAGCTGAGATTGCGCCACTGCACTCCAGCCTGGGTGACAGGGTGAAACCCTATCTAAACAAACAAAGGTGAGTGGGCTCATAAAAACCAAAGACCAGCCAGGGGCGGTGGCTCACGCCTTGTAATCCCAGCACTTTGGGAGGCCAAGGTGGGCAGATCACCTGAGGTCGAAATTTCAAGACCAGCCTGACCAACATGGAGAAACCCCGTCTCTACTAAAAATACAAAATTAGCTGGGCGTGGTGGTGCATGCCTGTAATTCCAGCTACTCAGAAGGCTAAGGCAGGAGAATCACTTGAACCCGGGAGGCAGAGGTTGTGGTGAGCTGAGATCATGCCATTGCACTCTAGCCTGGGCAACAAGAGCAAAACTCCATCTCAAAAAACAAAACAAAACAAACAAACAAACAAAAAACCCACCTAAAGCAAATACCCACATGCACACCCTAGCTCTCTGACCTTGGGAACATCATCTAACCTTTCAGTCTCAATATTTTCACCTGTAAAATGGAAAACATAACAGTTCATCCCTCCAGGATGACTATGGGGATAGATGATAGATGGCACGTGTGAAGTGCTGGGCACATAATAGAAATCTAGAGATTCTTTGTCTTTTTGCATCATCTCAACGCAAGGATGGATTCTTTGTTGTGCCAAAGAGCTGGTCTTCTCCCTCTCTGCTGAAACACCCCTAGTGGCAGGAAACTCACTGCCTGCTATTGTGAGTCAGTGCATTCCATGGCTGGGTAGTTTCTTGTCTTAGAAATTGATGCAGTGAAATTCAGTTTTCCATGCCTTTACCTAGCACAGTGTTTGGCATATTATTGGCACTCAGATGTTTTAATGAATGAACAGAAAAAAGCTGTTAATCATTCATTTATCATCTTTAAGAAAAATAAGATTAAAAGGCCAGGCACAATGGCTCACACTTGTAATCCCAGCACTTTGGGAGGCCAAGGTGGGCGGATCATCTGAGGTCAGGAGCTCGAGGCCAGCTTGACCAACATGGTGAAACCCCGTCTCTACTAAAATACAAAAATTAGCCAGGCCTGGTGGCAGATGCCTGTAATCTCAGCTACTCCGGAGGCTGAGGCAGGAGAATCGCTTGAATCCGGGAGGCGAAGGTTGCAGTGAGACGAGATGGCACCACTGCACTCCAGCCTGGGTGGCAGAGCGAGACTCCACCTCAAAAAAAAAAAAAAAAAAAAAAAAGAAAAATAAGACTACAGGCTTTGTGAAGCTAGCTTTTTGGCACCATGCTTTTCTCAGTAATTATTTATTGGCTAAATAAAGATCTAGTTAGTAAAATATAGTCTGTCCGTAAGAATACTTCAAAACACACACACATATTTCTTTTCCTCTCTCTCTCTATATGAGACTATAGCTTTATTTTTTGAGTATATATGATGCTTTAACATAAAACAACACATTTGATTTTTTGAGGGGGCTTATAATTTTCTGCCTTCCCACCCCCTTTTGTGTAGTATAACATTCAAACGGAAAAAGTGCACATCTCATAAAGGTACAGATGGATGCATTTTCACAAACTGAACACCCCTGTGTGGAATCAGCGCTGGGATCAAAAAACATAAATTACAAGTACCCCAGAGGTCCAACTCACGCCACTCACAATTATTACCCATTCTGTCGTCCCAGAAATTACCAATATCCTGATTTTTTTTTTTTTTTTTTTTT